TTTCTTTCTTCGCAAATCGCAAATTCTTGCTGCTGTCGGTCTCGTTGGCGGAGTAGTCGCCTCCTGCTTCGTTCAGCCTTATGTAGAGGTTTTCATTCGATGGCATCACACTCAAATGAAATTTGGGAAGGAGATGAAACCATGCGAACGTGTTAATCGCATTGCTGACTCGGTATTTAGCATGCTTTGTTGCCACTATCATAAATAAATGAACTTGTTGCTTCAAATTTCTGTCCATCGTCACATTGCTTCGACTAAGAACAAATTTTTAAGGTCATCGTATTTACATAACCTATCCTAGATGCTATCTATTTAGAGAATATTTTAACAGAAACGGCAGTTCTACGTTACTACCAAGCTTTTGCATTCCATTCTCATAAGGTGTTTGCAAAACTCCAAGTGCCAGAGACACTTCGCAATAAGGTGGACTTCTTTTTTACGAAGAATGGCGAAGCCGTGGCGCTTGGTAGCTTGAACGATGGAGCCTTCAAGGATTTCAATGATTATGCTTTTATTGGTCTGCCCTACTTTTGTGCTTATGAGGATCCCCTTGATATTCCGATTGAAGAAATGAATTTCTCCTCGTAAGTCTTCATCTCGTCCGCTTCACGATTAACCCTAACAAAATCCTTTCTCTCTTTGGCTCCTCTCTTTACTGTATGGTATTCCAGGCCTAGCATTTTCATCTTCGTTACCTCTCTATGCAGGTATGACTTGTAGATAATTTAAGGGGTGCCATTTGCTTATTCAGTGGCCTCTAAAGGGCCATTTTCTCCTTTCTAATTTGCTCTACTCTTGCACGTTTTTATTTGCTTTTGTTACTCTGTGTGGTGAGTTGTCCTTCATACTCATTAATCGTTCCCTCAATCCCTCTCATTGTTATCTTTTAGGCCCTTATTTCCCTACACGGCCTTCTCAGTCCAGGGTAGGCATCGCCTCCAGTTGATGTGTCTCTCAGATGCGGCGTTGGAATTTCTCATCGCCCGGGAAGTGTGTATTCTCTTAGGCTCTAGGAAGCTGACGGAGTGTAAATCTAGTGGGGTGGAGTTAGCCTCACACTTTCTTCCGCCGCGTCTTGCATCACGTGTTTCCTGTCTCTCCCTCGTAGTCAGTCTCTACCTCGCCTACCAGGTGTGTTACGTGCTTAACCGTCTCCTCTGTTTACCCAATACTTGTGTGCGGCCACTTTGTCTCCTCGGATACACTGGCATTACCGCTCTCATGTTGCTCTGTCAACGCCAACTTATCGTTTCATGGCGTCATAATGCCTCTCTGGCTCTTGACGCAGCTGTTGCCAGCGTTGACCATGAACTTCTTGTCGGAGGTATTGAGTACTACGAGTGGAAGCGCAGTTGGAACGCCTTTTGGATGCGGCTGCTTCCCTCCTCCCGCAGAGCTATGGAGGTGCTGAGAAATGTCACCAGAGTTGCTCTTACCACCGATCTCTCCCCATGTCTGAGGTACCAGGTGCAACGAGGCCTCAAGGATCCTACAATCCTTTATCGCGATCCTGCAAGTGAGCTCACTAATTCCTGAGCACTTATAATGGTAACCTTCGCCTTCTATATAGTTCTCTTTTGACGTCTCAGCCTATTACTTCATACCGGTGTCAATCGACCAGTTAGACAATGATTCGCAGCAATCCGACCTCCGATTGGACGACTGCAATCCTGCCTACCTCTCCGCCTACCATCTACCCGGCTACGACCCTAATACACTGCAGGGCGATGAGAAGTTCGCCTCGGACGGCGAAACTCTCCTCTTCAATATGGCCGGTCTTCTTGCTTTTGGTGTGGTACCGGCGTGGCTAGCATCGGTCTTCCAACTGCTCTCCTTTCCTGCTACATGTACAAAGCGCAAGGCAGCTCTTGAGGCCATGTTGTGAACCATCTTTTCATCATTACTATGTGTCCATACATACGAGTAATTTTCAGGATGCTAAATAATAACCCTCATATTGCTTCCCTATTGTTGCTTAGTCATGAAATTGAAGTTGCAGTGGTGGTCTTGAGCCAGTAAGATGGTGTTTGTACTATTCAAAAGATCAAGCCTTCCTCCCTTGGGCTTTTTTCCCATTTTCCATCTCCAAAATGGCGCTTCATATGATCTAAGAGTGGTTTTTCTTCCTTAATGAATGAATGAGGCTGTGCATGATGATGTAAATTAGACTTTGTTTTGAACCTGCAGAAAATGCAG